ATGAATCAATAGATATGATAGATCGTGTTAACAGATATAACAAACCTCAGTCTTTTGTCCTTAACTATGTGCCAAAGCCATTTTCTGCTCCCTATATATTGTAAAACTTGCATTTCGCTGCTCATGGTTTAAAGCGGAAACGTTCAGCTCTTTGTGTCCAGGTGCAAATATGTAGAAAGGCGCATGAAACAGTCAATGAGCTGATAACAGTGGCGGCGGAACGCTATGTTGGTTCAGTAATTATATTCAGTACGTGATAATTAATCAAGGATGTTTGATATACGCTTGTTTTCATGCTCCAGCTTCGCCCGTATATCAGACGACCAGATTATGGTAAAGCGTGTAGTCAGATAGGTAAATAACAATGCATAGCATTTCAACAATTCGATTCGCGATATACAAAGATAAAACACCGGCTAACTAAGACAAATGGTAGATTTTACTTCCAAAGGTAAAGGTTCTGAAATCAGTTGTGCATTTTACCGGCCTTATTCTCGTACCCACTCTTGTAGAACAGCTAGCCAAGCAGTCATAATGATGGGGAGACGGACTGTCGGTAACTTCCCAAGCGAACTGATTTGCAGTCGTACAGAGTTTATCGATTGTAGGGCGTGATCAGCACGAAACGTATCTAAGCAGTCCCAAATATTGCCGGTTCGGTTATTTGCAGGGGTCACGGTCAAGTGTCACCGAGCGTCTCGACGAACCACTGGTAGAAGAATAACTTCACACATGATTCCATCATGAAACGTCACAAAAGCAGTTGTAATCAAACAAGTTGCCATAAATGCCATTTTGGTTGAGCAACAACGAATTCACTCCACAACAAGGGGGCTTAGGCGAAACTAGCAATCAAACGAGCGCCAAATCACCGACGTACGAACAACAAGGAAACGTGATACCCTGGTGTGAACATACCAACATGGGTGAATTGTACGGTCATGTTGCGTGATGGAAACGCGTCTGAGAGTTGCAATTCGCCTTGACCTACCTGACAGCTGTTTTTCCTGTGTTAATGGGCACAAGAGAAACCTCGAATAACTTTCATGCTGACTTTTTTCTTTCCTCCTTTTTATTTTCTTTTGTTGCCCTTGCTTACACCTGTCTAACCTCATAACTGATCGGTGATACAATATTATTTGTCGCTGCACATGCCAATAAACCTGATTGATTGATTGATTGATATGATGTAACCCCTGCTGCTTTTGTTCCGCAATATTAATAATGCATTTATGCGCAAAGTGGTAATCACTACAGCCGTTTCGATCAGCTATTTACCGTTGTTTACCTTGGGTAGAATTTTAGCTTCCTTCACCCGTGCCGAATAACAGCATCGTTTGTTGATCTTGTTCAAACAGTAAACTTTCAAGTATTCAGAGCGGAAGTTGGCTAATCTGTAGCCGAAGCGTCTTGGCAGTATAAACCTTAGAATAATTAGAAAATCAAATAGAAGTCATCTGCTCAGATGATGTTGTATGAAGAGCAGTAGTTTAACAGCTCCATGTACCACACCCTCCTTCGATTAATGATATCCGACATGTAGGAATCCCCCAGATTACGTTAAGTATCACCCGCTTCGACAACGAACGTAACATCTGTCTCAAGCAGATCAGCTTGTAATAGGTTTA